CAATACTTATGTTTATCTGGGTTTTGGGTTGTATACTTGCACTCCAAAATCCAAATTGCCAAAAGCTGAAAAGGGTAGCCGTACCCGGACACTGATTGGCCAATTTTGCTTTTATCATCAACTGGGATGATCATAAACAATAGCAGCAACCCAAATACACTGAAATACAAATTTTGCAGCAGATAAATCAATAAACAAATAATCAGGGGAGAGAGAGAGAGAGAGGAGAGAATAAGAATACTAACAGGAGGGCCTTGGAAAGAGGAAGGAAGAAGATGGCGAAGAGGACCAAAATCACGTTGAAATGGATAGTCCCCAGCCATAAACCCAAAGCCAGAACCGTGTGCAAAACATTGGACCCGAATTTTTCTCTGCCTTTGAATATCGCCATCCTCCCCTCCTTCATATCCACCATTTCCTCTCAAGTTTTAGTCTTCTTCTTCAACTTCTTCAAACCCAATTTCCTCAAATTAATAATTCTTAATAAAAATAAAAACTTGGCCGCATTCGAACACATCATCACTGTGTAGCATTCGTGTCACCTTCCAAGCTTTCATTCTGTTTCTGAGTGTTTCTGTGTTAACTCAGAATGACATCATTACCTCTTTTTGGGCACAGAAACTCAGTCATTACGTGATTAAATATAATTTTTATTTGACAGTGTTTTTTGGGGGTGACAACTGTTCTTAACTCTGCCATCTCATTATATTTTGCAGTGGTGTCATATTGGAGGAAGTGCCAGCGATTTTAAAAGTGTTGAAATTTATAACGTGTCTATGGATGCCCTTGAAGAGGCTGCAAACAGAGTTGCTCTTGCAAAGAAGAATGACGGGAGATTGGCTGTAGTTAGTAGAGCTGGAAGAGACGACGGATTTCATTTGGAGAGTCAATCAAACGCCTTTGGTGATCATAAAAGGGGTTTCGAAACTTTGTCTGCGGTCAATTTTTTTTTTCCTGCTACTTTCAGTCAGCTAGCTCTTCGTTTCATTTTTCTCAAGGATAATCTTTACTTGCTGTTGCTTAAACCAGTTACCTCTCTCTCTCTCTCTCTCTCTCTCGATTGCATTGTAGGGACTAGTTCGTGCACCAAAATGAAAAGGTAATTCAAGGCCAAAGAGACATCCAAAGATTAAAGTGTATAATTCATTGTTTTTATTAAGAAATTATCAAATAATTAAAAAATCAATTTACACATCTTAATTATGCCACTTCTGTTGTTCCGGATGAAGGTTTGGACTTTTGCCATACGTGGGCACAAACTATGTATAGACCCACTAGCTAGACATCAAGAGCAATTCTTCAACCGTCATTTCTACAATCTACCTTAATACAACATGTTATCACTAATTTCCGGGACACGAATAGAAAAATTGATAATGTAGAAGGAACATGGATTAAGATCTGATCAAAGAATTTTCAATTGAAGATCAGCATGACCAACCCGAGCCTTGTGCCGTTCGAAAAGATCCTGTAGTGCTGCAACAAACTGACTGTGTACTTCATTGACCTGGAAATGAATAGAAGTATGAACTCAGACATTCAGCCAGCATCGATCTATAAAGCTATGCCATACAATGCAACTAAAACTATATAGAATAGCTTTTCACAACATTAAAAGCTCTTAACATGGGAGAAACCAAAGACGGACATGGATGTTCGGTATGGGAGACATCCCTTAATCGTTACAACATTGGTGTTGAATAGCATCGACTATTTTCAGGTATCTCACATTTCTGCTCTTATTCATGCTTTACTCTTTTCCACTGGTGTCATTAAAAGCATTCATTCTTCTTTTTTTGGCAAGCATTCATTCAAACATGATGCATGTCGAAGTTCAAGTCCAGGGAAACAGAATAGAGTGCAATAAAGTAATTTGAACACAATCCAAGCAAAAGTTCTCCATGACTGAATGTTCACAGGTGACCAAACACATACAATATGCTCAGGTGTTTTGGTGGAATTCATACCTCTTCCATGGTTGGTTGTGGGGTTTTCTTGAGTTCGATTGGTCTTCCTACCACCACGTGCATTGGATGCCTGTAGGGCACAGGAGATCTGCATAGGAGAACCATGATATGAACCATTAACAGTTGCTGAAAACTGTAGCCCTGCTAACTATCACATATATACAAATATACATAACAAATGCGACAGAGTAGGTTTCAGAATACATACCAAATATTCCCCAGAAGAAAAAGAAAGTTAGGACAATAGAGTATTAAAAACTTAGAATACATACCCAAATATTCCCCAGAAGAAAATTGGGGTGAACTTGATAGCTCTGGCAAACTTCGAAAATAACTCCCCACTTGGCTTCCACCACTTATAAACATCTGACTGCAGCATGAATGGATCATAAGAAAAGGTAAGGGAATATCATATTGTTAGGAGAAGCACAAGCATGAGGAAAACAGTAAAATCAAGAATCAACAACCAAAAAAGCAATAAACATAATGGCCCTTTTAATAATCACAAGCAATCGATGCATGAAGCTACTCAGAGATTTCAACAAACTGAAGTTGATAGTCAGAAAACTACCGACAATCTACCATCAATACAAGTTTGGACCAGCAAAGCAGGAACACAAACGAAAAACACATACCATGCAACTGGCTAACTTTCTAGATGTCTTAATAGGTGAAAGAAACTAGATAAAAAATGGTGATACCTGACCAAAGCAGAAAACTGGAACCAGGGGATGGCCCATCTCCATGGCTATGCGAACAAATCCTCTTCTCGACTTGAGAAATGCTATCTACAAAATAAGCAACTGATTCACAAATAAGAAAACAGACACCAGCTGATTGTCAGATTAATGAATTTGTAGCACTCAATTATGCTCTACATCCAGATACAATTGTTAAGAAAGAGCATAAGCAAGATTTTAAAGATACAAACCTCAGTGCCATGCTCCATATAAAATGTCTCCTGCACTCCACCAGGCACAATGATGCAACTATAACCAGAGGATAAGTGGGAGATAAAATTACTCTTTGTGGCTGGTGTAAGACCCAACCATGTCCATATATGTCTTAGGAATGGTGTGTAGAACACCTAAGCATGAATTCCAACACAGAATGAGCAAAACTGTAACTAAGAAATCATAGAAAAAGGTTGACCTGATATGAAAAGCAGAAAGAACAATATGAATAAAGTGAAGAAGTCTTACAGCGCTACTTGCAAGGACCTTAATTTTGGTGAGAGGTAGGAACCCAGTAAGGTCAGCAAGTGCAACAACACCAATTGGCAAAACTGAATGTGGTTCATAACCAAAAACTACATGAAGCACAGAGACACAAATGTCAATTATATTACTAATTTATTAAAGCTTCTAATGAGACAATAACACATTTGATGAAAAGGGTAATACCATAAGATCGATTAGGATCAAAGGCATGTATATCCTCTGCATACAGAGTCACTGGAAAATAAGCACAAGCATGCTTACATATGTACCTACATATACCAAAAAACCAAAAAAATAAAAAAGTTATCTTTATCTGGGTTAGGTTGCGTACTTCGTATACTTGCACTCCAAAATCCAAATAGCAAAAAGCTGAAAAGGGTAACCTTACCTGGATAGTGATCGGCCAATTTTGCTTTTATCATCAACTGGGATTATCATAAACAATAGCAGCAACCCAATTACACTGAAATACAGATTTTGCAGCAGACAAATAAATAAACAAATAATCAGGAGAGAGAGAGAGAGAGAGAGAGAGAGAGAGAGAGAGAGAGACTAACAGGAGGGCCTTGGAAAGAGGAAGGAATAAGATGGCGAAGAAGATCAAAATCACGTTGAAATGGATAGTCCCCAGCCATATGCCCAAAGCCACAACCGTGTGCAAAGCATTGGACCCGAATTTTTCTCTGCCTTTGAATATCGCCATTCTCTCCTCCTTCATCTCCGCCATTTCTTCTCAAGTTCTAATCTTCTTCAAACCCAATTTCTCCCAACCAATAATTTCTCAATAAAAATCAAAACTTGGCCACATTTGACCATATCATCACAATCAGTAGCATTGGTGTCACCGTCCAAGCCTTCTCTCTGTTTCTGGGTGTTTCTGGGTTAACACAGAATCACATAATTAGCTCATTAAATATACTTTTTATCGGTGTACTATGGACCAAGAAACCCATGGACCAATTATTTAACTAACAAATTTGGTAGCAATTGAAATCATCTCCACCGTCCAAATTCCATTTTTAATCTCACCTCTAGTAAAAATGGTTTTCACTTTTATTTTATTTTTATAATCTTATTTTTTTTAATTACTGAATATGAATGAACATGCATGGTCCAACGAGAAATCAACTTTCCTCTCAAACGCTGCATTGGTAAGTTGACAACTGTGAGCTGCCCCAATGAGAGTAATGAGCACTATTGAGTCATGGCAATCTTTCTTTTTTTGTTGCCCATTAAATAACATAAATACTGGTCGGTGCTCTGCTGTTGGTCACATGGTATTCACGTTCCTTCCCCCTAATCAAATTTAGAACTAAAAGTTAGATATGTTTTATGTTTATATTTGTAACTTTTTATACAAGTGGTATTCAGAGAGAGGAAAGTCTGATAAAAGATATGGAGAATGTGTATAAATCTTTTTAAACGCTTGAGATATAAGTTCATTGTTGTTTGTATTTGGCTTTGTATCACTACTTTTTTGCATTGTTTGTTTCGATTTAAAACATAGACAAAATTGTGTGAGCTTTCCATCTTTTGCTAATTTGCTTCACCTATGGAATCTCAGTTTTCGCTAATCACACTGAAGGTATGTGTTCCTTCTCAAATTAGCTGTTCTATTGGACAACCGCATTTTATAAGTTCATAATTAGAGAGCATTGCGCATCATGGAACTTAAATATTTTAAATGTTTTGACGGTCGGATCGGTCTCCTCAAATAACATCCTCACTTTAACTCCTCATTGTAGAAGCCCCCTTGTGCATCATGCTCCTTGCATTAATCACATGTTTACCAACCACTAATGATTGATTTGTATGTCCAAAAGCCCTTTTCAAATCCACAACAAAAGGGGCTGGAATTTGCCTCTAACCAAAAGCCTCTTTTGTAATTAGGGCTTATTACAAGTACAGAGTAGTATGGGCTCATTGGCAAAAACCATTAGTGGGCTGAATTGGGTAAAAGAAATATACATGGCCCAAACTCTGAAATCTTCTTGTTGTTGTTTTGAGTCTTGAGGATGTAATTAATGCGGCAATTTTATGCTTGATGATGATTAATTAACATCCCATTCGAGCCCACCTAAACCATTCTCTCAACTGAATGATGGAGACAAGATTGTTTCTTCTTTTTCTGCCTTTCTTGGATCCTTGTGGCTTTCTTACACATGCTTCTGAAGAACACTCCTGCAAGCAGTTATCATCACACTTGCCTCTGTAAGTACAACTTCAGGCTTTCCCTTTGGCCAAACCAGATAACAGAATGTGAAAGTATACTTAGTGTTATGATTTTGAACTTACTTGAGTTATGAAAGGGTCTTGCTTGTCCTCAGATACTAGAATGGTGGAACAGCTAGACCTTGATGCATTTTCTACATCCATCTCATGGCTTAACTATATTGGGCAAAGACAAATTACAAAATACTAAATACCCAAAAAAAGAAAAAAGAAATCTACTCAATTGGGACATTTGCTAATGGAGACAGAGATATGCTAGAAGGGGTCATGAAACAAAACTATTGCCATTGCTGCTAACCTGTAATACCCGGTTTTCGAGCACAGCTACTCTTTCCATCAATGTGCCTTTTTGATGTGCTTCTTCAATAGCAGATGACAGAGTCTTACACTGATCTTCTTCTGGTACTGGTTCCATGGTTTTGCAGGCAGAGCTAGAAGAATGGCTTGCTGACAAGCAATGCTTGTGTTCCAAGAATTGCAGCTGTACATGTACATCATGGAGATGATGATCAACCCAGGAGGATTTGAAAACTGAGCAGGATAAAAATTCATGGAAAAACAAATAAAAAGACATGTTACCAAACGATCGAGACGATCCAGTCTTCGGAGAATAGGCATGGGAGAACTGATGTCCAGATCTTCATGTTGGTCCATTATTTTCAAACAATCAGATTTGCAAGTTCAATTGTCTCTTAACATGTACAATAAACAACTAGCTGCTTCAAGCATGCATTTTTTTGCAGCTAAATCGCATAGTACACTGGCTGGCTGAGGAACCAGAAATTGGGTCTTAAATGCTGGAACTGATAAGAGTATGGACAACACTTTTATAATAGACAAAGTTTTTAATGGCAACCACCTTGCCCATACTCTACTCTTATCTCCCCTAGATTTTGCTTCCATATTTGTCTCCTATCTCTCCCTCTCTTTCTTGTTGGAAGATATTGATTGAGTAGGCAATAATTGGGTTGATTGTTTCTTGGCTTGTATATTCAATCTCATACTTTACGGCTTGTTAAAAGATTTCCTTTCACATTCATCCACTATTGCTTTCCAAACCAAATAATTAAGTTGACTGTGCACAAAGTGAGGAGAAAGACACTTACATGAAACGGGAATAATACTATTTTGATATTCTCTTTCGGGCCTATAGCGCTATGCACCAAAAGTCTAAATTCACATTCATGGAAATTGTATATTATATATAATTTAATAAGAAAACAAAAAGCAAAAGCCTAAATTCAACCGGTCAAGACCCTGAAACAGATTGGTGGGAATGATTTGCTCCACTATTTTCGTGATACAATAAGAAAAGTGGCAAAATAATAGGTTACCTTGTCACTCTGGAAAAATGACTTCAAACTGACGCATAACATATATATTATGTGGCAAATTGTGATGGCATCAGTCCTTTTCTTTACGATTTTCTTTTTCAAATGGCATGAGCAAGCTATAAGTTATTGCCATGGCAATCCACCCTCCAATTAAAACTCTAACTGCAGACGGCATGGCCGGTGAGCCACCGAAACGAGCTCCCATACTGCCGAAGAGAGCCAGAGCTATTGAAGCCACCACCACAACCACCACCATTCTCACAGTACTATGAGCAATAAATATGGCTGAGATTAAAGGCAAAAGTGAGCCACACAGAAATGCCAAAGCTGATGCAGATGCTGCCTTTTGTGGACTTCGGGGGAATTAAATAGTTGGTAATATTTTCTCTGGTGGATGATCACTCGTTGATTTTCCACATGAGATTGTTCTTGAAGGAGTCAGTTCAATTGAAATCGTCAAGTTTGATCTTTCAGGGATGTCTAGCTTGACCTTACCGTTGATATCTTTCTTACCCAAGTCGGTATTTAAACTGCTTTGTTGTCTTAGAGAGGTCTTTTCAATATCTCTTTGTGTTGAAACTGAAACAAACTCTCCCACAGCCATGCTACAAGCTCCTGCAATAGCTCCAGCTATGCCTGATAGGATCATCGACCAACGATCTTCCTTCACTGCGCCAACACCAAGCATTAGCGACGTAGTTGATAGCAACCCATCACTTGCTCCAAGGATGGCAGCTCTAAGCCACTGAGCTCTCTGCACTTGTTCAGTCCTTGTCTTGTAGTTTTCAT